ATTTTTTACATTGCTAAGTGCATTGCGTTTGAGATATTCTCAAGAAATCAAAAGTACAACACTAAAATAGTGTAAAGAATAAATTAAATTCCTTAGGGGACTTTAGCTGAGTCAGTTTAAGTACACCATTAATAAACCTAACGGCTAGCATGCAAAACTACCGTCAACGTCACCTCGGTATTATTATGAGCAATAAATTGTGCTCAAAACTTCATCAGTAAGTAAGTAACACTGTGATATTACTGTGTCCTGTCATATAAAATTATCCTACAGGGAAATTATACCTCATCGCAGTTTAATGTCATTTACGATGACAGTTAGACCATACATTTTGATTTGAATATTTTTGGTTTCCAAAGTAAACTATGGTAGTATGCTTTGTAGTTAATTAAATTAACTTTTAATTCATGGAAAATACTCATCCAGACATGAATATAAGAAAAACAAAGGTCAACGAAGAGTCTCTTTTCGGCGAATTCATTCACTTAGCTGTTCAGTCACATTAATATACAATTGTTGTGTGTTTGTGTGTGTACATTAGGATTGTCAAACAAGAATTAGTTAGTTTATGTCATCAAAATGTTTCTAAAACCTTATGAGTTATCAAAATTATAACTAGGGCGGAGGGTGAAGACTGGTAAGTATTGACAAGGGCTGCGTAATATGAAATAGGATGTTAATGGAGACACGTGTGCAAAATAAATTATTTAATAGGTAGAAGTGAAACGGTAGAAGACGAAGATTTGGTAAAGGAATGTTTATTTGGAAATTGGTATCTCTATATAGCCACATCATGTACACCTTATCTTCAACGCACCCTTTGCACATATCTTCCGTGTTGTGCTACTTCTCGTCTTCATATTGCATGTGTTTCTTTGTGTTCCTTTCATGTCTCCCGTGTACCTCCACAATGCTCTGTTATTTGCCTTCACTGAAATCAAATCTATCTGCCTGCTATTCAATTTTTTATGCCAGCTGAAGTCTCTTTATATACTACTGATAAATCTTATCAGTAGCACTCGCCACAGAAGGAGTAAATAAAGGGTTGGTTAAGAAGAAGATGTTACTAAGATGTCATACAAAAATTCAAAGAAAAAACATTAAAAAAGTACTAGAACTTAGAATTATACTCACGGTAAACGCAGGGGGTGGAGAAGTTTCGCCTGTGTGCATAAATCAGGGTTTTCTATCCGGATCACTGAGGCCTCGGCAATGCAAAATATACGGAAGCTTACCGTTTGTAGATAACTTTGAATGAATCCTCCTTACATATTTAGTGACTAGAGTTGAATATATGTTCAATTATCGCACTCCTTATTGATCCACTGTTACATTTTCGTAGCCAAGTGAGATAATGTTCTTTGACTGTTTTAGATAAAACACGCATCGAACGATCTGTATATCTCTGTCCACATGAGCAAGTAAACTGGTAGACAGCTAAGGGAATGAATTCGCCGAAAAGAGACTCTTCGCTGACCTTTGTTGTTCTTAAATTAGTTTTGTTTACAATCACCATATATATATATATATCCTTGATTTCGCCCAAAAGCGACTAAATCCATCTTAAACAGACCAAAGCCAGTTGAAACCAGTCAAGACAAGTTTACACCATAGGGCCGAGACAGAATATTTATTCTGTTGTGATTGGGCAATCATGAATTCTGAAATTATACAACCAATTATTGTAGTTGTTTATCGGCTTCTCTCTCCGAGGTACGTGATACTTTATATAATGTATTTTTGTATAATGAGGAGCAATCTTCCCACTGGCTCGGATCACTTAGTTTTCTATCTTTATTCTCCTGGGCTGTTGCGGTAAGTGATGATTGGAAATTAGAACTGGTATTAAATCCTCAAACGAGTTTCTTATTGTCTCTCTGTATCGAACCCTAAATGCAGCATTCTTATTAGTATCTGCCATATTAGGCCAAATCAATTTTAGTGGCTTTAACGAACTAAAACAGCAGTATCCTTATCATTCACATCAATATATGTATATTTTAATAGTGGTTTTTCCTATCATGTGTGACAGTCAATATTCACTTCTCTGTTTCGAGACTAATATTCCAAACACACGAAACCGTTCATAAGTGTCATGGCCCAGTTTTCATTTATCTGGTTTCATAGTTTATTCTTAACTGTTTAAATTCGTCATCATATTTCGTCTTCAGCTAGCAAAAATAATGACAGTAAAAATGTAAATTAAAGCTTGTGTATTCAAGTATTGGTTTGTAGGGATTTGGTTGATTGGTTACAGGATTTCATCATGAGCTGACATTGGTTAGAGAACCATTGGAAAACCTGGGAGTACTGGACAACTGTTTCGTCCTAGTTTGGGACTCTTCAGCAGTACGCACCCACCGGGGTTCGAACCCAGGACCTTCTGGTCACAAGGCGAGCTAGCTCGTAGACCAATTATCCACTGGGACCCGGTCCAATGGCCCATGAATTCTAACTTCTGCGAATTCACGATATAGCGCAACCGCTAGCCAATGTCTTCGGCGAGTATTTGTCCTCACACCGACTTGCTGCACCCTAGGTAGGTAGTTACCTGGTGTTCTAGTGGAAAGTCGTGACCAGTAGGGTGCAGCAGGTCGGTTGTGAGGACAAATACTCGCCAAAGACATTGGCTAGCAGTTGCGCTATATCGTGAATTGGCTAAAGCTTGTGTAATTTAACAGAAACCCGAGCTACGTGATTGCCGACAAGTTGTCATTTCCTGTTCACATAATCTCCATGTCACCTTCTGAAACATGCTCAAATGGTCGCTTCCCATTCAGGTTCCACTCGAAGGCTTGTGTGTGATGTCACTCAACGGTCTCCTCCGTGTGTTAAATCCATCTCCATTTCCTTCTTCATATTTGTTGGGCAACAGATTGTTGAATGGTTTGCTCATTGCCAGAGCTCCTTGTTGCTTCATCTTTCGGGCTATCTGATCTTAATTTTTGACCATTGCTAATTGTTGATGAAGGTCTCTAGCAGGCTGTTGGAGATATTAGAAAATCAGACAAGTCTCTGAACCATATGTGTTGAAAATTCGGCTTTTTCATCCTTTTGCTGACTACTATAGAGTTCCTCACCGATTTCAGATTAACAAAAGCCTGTCTTACCTTTGTGATCCCATCGCGACTGGCTTTGACATTCTCATCCGTGTCGCCTGTAGTTTAGACGATGTTCCTCATTCTGATAAGTGAAAGAGAAGGTGGAAATCTCTGTAGCCTGGTTTCATGATTATGTGCACTCGTAAACAAGACAAATTCGCTACCTCGAAGAGACTGATAACTGATAGGATTCAGTCAGCACTAACACTAAGGATTCAATAAATAGCATTGGTTACTTTCAACTGACAAACCGATGTATCCAGTCAGTGGGTGTGTAATGATGAAGAGTCTCAAACTAGGACGAGACAGCTGTCCAGTACTCTCAGGTTTTCCAGTCGTTCTCTAACCGATGTCAGTTCATGATGAAATCCTGAAACCAATCAAATACCTGAAAACCAACACTTGAATACATAGTCATTTGTCTATTGGCAGTTGTTTAGAACAATGTTCTGAGCCCCTAACTCCTGACTTTAGAATTTGTACATCTGATCAAACTTTTGAAACAGCAGAGTATCATAAACCACTACAAATACTCTGTAACCCCTTGTTCAGTATGCAACTATGTAGCTGATTTACATTTTTATATCACATCTTCATTCTACCTCGTTCAATGGTCAAAATGCACATTCCATCTTTACCAGGCTTACTATTGGCTAAGCGAGGTTTAGAAGTGCATAGACTAGGTATGGAATCCGGACCACGTGCTTGGTCGTCAAGGATTCCACCACTGAGCCGCAGACACACAGCAAACTGATACACAGTTCGATAACAGAGCATCTGGTAAATTCTGGATATTCAGCCCCGTTTGAAAAGTCCTTCAAAGCTATATATAAGATCCGATCCAACCTACCAAAGGGAGTGAAATCAAGACATCTAGTAATAGCTGAGGCACTGGCGATCCAAAAACTCAAGCCTATTCTATGCGTCCATGTTCCATTCCATCCATCCTATGAATTATTCTATATATGACATTAATTGTTTTGCCACTTGACATTTAACTATGATTATAATTTTCATACTATTATTATTATTTTTGCATTCACACCTATGATTCAATTCCCTCACCGGATATAACTTCTTAAAAACCATATATATACGATTGTACAGCTTGATAATAAATTCGTTGAGAAGAGTCTCTTCGCTGAATCACTTGTTTTGATTTTCAAAAGAAATACGTCCAACCGTTGTCCCTACCGTGGCCATCATGAAAAGTCAGTCTCACCAATAATGATCATCCTATTACCTTTCTTGTCCAACCTTCCCGTTTATTTCTGTTATATTTACCTTTTAAATCCCTATCTGCATTATTAGATTTGGTTACTGTTTTTATTTTTATATGTCCGAACCTCCTACCCATTTCGTTAATACTACACCCTTAACCCGAAATTATACAAACTGACTAGTTTTCTAGTAATTATAATCCTATTTTGTCTTTTGTACCCGATCTTCCTGATTATTACACATTGTAATTTTTAATTTGACCTTTGGCCTGAAATATTTCTAGAATAGTGCCACTACCTATCTTCTGTTTATTACACTTAGTAATTTTATTAATCTGACCTCTGACCGGAAATAATTCGGAACTTTTTCACACATGTAATATAAATACACGAATGTACAGCGTCTAGTTGATGACTTCGTCAAAAAGAAAATTTTCTTCGCTGCAACCGTCTTTTTAATAATTCCTATGATCTAATGTGTATATTCCGTGATACACAATCCCTTATTCATTGGGAGTCTTCTGTAAATTGAATAAGAAGGAGTTCGCTTTAGAAAGCAACAAATCTTAGTGACAACAAACATGCATTAACACCACTAAGTGTATAAATACTGAATTTGCAAAACAACATTTAAAACTATGAAATATTTATTTATTTTTTATGATTCATAGAATAAAATAGGCTTTAATTAATAATGATTGGGGAAAAAATTCAAATAAATTATGAGACGTTTAAAAAGGTTCATTTCCTTAAATTTATTAAGTGAATCATTTAAACCACCGTTGAAGAAAAGGTGAGACACTTACAATGTTTCAATAGTATTCAATGTAATATGATGAGAAATGTTTGTTTAAACAGTTTTTATACTTTCAAAATTAAATTATGATTGGTGTGTATAAAATGAGTTTAAAAGTAACAAAAGATAATTTTTGATGAGAAGATTAGCAGGAATAGTGTTTTGGTGTTTCCTTTCATGGTTCTCAATATATATATATATATTTATGAAAAGAAATCATGTTTGCCAAAGTAGAAAAGCCCATTTATCAACTCTGAAACTGATTAGTGCTCCTGGTAGAGTGGCTAAATTACTACCGTATGAATCAGAACCTACAATGGAATGCCACAATTTGCCAAACTCTTCATCCAAACTTTCTTTCATCATTTTAGCTACTGTGTCAAGATCTTTCGATTTATTTAACGATTGACGTGCTAAGTCTGTAATCCAATTCAGTTTTGCTGGTGATAATGTCTTACTTAAATTTTCATCACCTTCAATTTGCATGTATTCAATTTCCATACGATTTGTCAATCGGTTAGATCCTACACTATGTATACTTAGATAATCAGGATGTGTATCATATAGATCAAGTGTACTCAGCGATGGTACAGATTTAGCCAAACACATATGTCGATGGTGAAGATGATGATGATGGTGATGAAGTCCAGGTGTTATTTGCATCCTAGAATTACTTAATGACTTGTATTTTTGATTTAAAATAAACGGGCATACATGATCCAATGAAGGACAACTTATTCCATTCACTTTACGATTACAATAAGCATCAGCACGGTTTAATGATCTAGAATCATAATGGTCATGATTTAAAGTATTCACACTTTCATGACATCTTGGACAGATAACACTGTGACACTTTCGACAGATACTTGATTCCACTGATGTACGTGAATTAAGCCTATTTAAAGATGAGTGTGAACGTTCATAATTTTTAGCGCCTTTATTTAGATATTTGCGTTTACTGCTACTACGGCTGACAGGCATAAATAATTGACTTTGTTTAAATCCAGGTGAACGATTACCTTTACTTTGTGAAGTCACATAAGAATGCATATCGTTGTTCATGTCAAGGTATCCTTCACCTGATGTATTACCATTCTCATTTGTATCTGACTGAAGATGTTCAGGAGCAATGAATTCTAACCGACTTACAACACGTTTTTGATCTATATTAGTTGGATTATATGTGATAGAACTGAGGACAGATGATGTTGCAGGTTTTTTATATCCATTACTAACTGGTGGTGATTGTATACTCTCTTGTTGGTCAGAAGAATGCTGATGACGTCGATGATGATGACGTTGACGATGTTGATAATGATGTTGTTTACGACTATGACCAGATCGATGTGAAACACGATGTCTTTTATGTAATGAAACATTTGTTTTGTAATATTTATTTTCTGTTTTATTTTCTTCATATTCATCATTGTCAATGTAGACTTCATTTTCATCACCTATGTACTCTTTGTTATCATTAGAAAAAGCAAATTTTTTAGTGACTTTAACGACACGTTCAGTGCCTGGGAGAAGAAAGATTTTCTCAGATTTATCAATGCTTTTTTGACGTTCACCATTATCAGTATTATTATTGTTATTATTATTACTATTATTAACATCATTTTTGTCTCGGGGATTAGATAATTCAAGTCTTGGACTATAGGCTATTCGAACGGTGGGGGATGATTGTAAAGTATCCGAGGTACGTTCGTTCATCAGAGAACCTGGCGAATCCGAACGTGATAAAGTTGTAGAAGTTAATGTTTGACTTTCCATTGAAATTCTTTAAATAACTACAACGCAAAAATAAACAAGAAAAAATATTAGTGAGGACACTTCTTTTAACGCAATAATTATATTACACAAGTAGAGCTGAAGTTCAGAATATGAAGATCAAAACCAATATTCAAGAACAGTTAGGACCCTATATACCTCCGAGTTATTCCTAAACCAATCGTATAGGAATAACTAGGTTATAGTCAAATAGGATAGGAATGCATTTGCCATGACGTTCTCAGTTAATCATGAGAAACTCTCAGCAGCATTCCAAGATACTGATACGGTTTTACGGATAGTTCAAGTAGAAATTTGATAATATTATAAGCTGAAATATTTAGGACTTAGATTTCAAGGTCAAAAGTATTCAGAGTAATCACAAATAATTGCAGTGAGGATAGAAGTTACAGAAAAACAAACTAACGGCGCCTTCGTCTCATTATGCTTGAATAAGTAGAATGAACGGAGTCAATAAGGATTCGAACTTCCTCAAGTGGTTGGTCTGATATGATTTTGTATTACTTGATCGAAGGAATGCTGTAGTCGTATCAGGTGTTACGTATAGTTGACTTAAAGGTGTTTTACCAACTCTGGTTTTACACAGCTAGAATATCTGTTGTGGCGTTTGCTATACCATTTACGAAAACACCTTACGATGGCTTCTATGCGCACTAGAATAATTCAAAAGGATGATTTTAATGAAGTTGTATTGTCTGATCAAAATGATTCTACAAATAGAACTTTCACTATTATTCAAAAGAAAACCTTGAAGATGAATATTAGAGAGCGATCTACCCAAATGTCTCCACAGGTGTTTTAGTAGCTGGTTCCGATGTGCTGGGATGTGTTCGGTTGTTTGGTTGAAGGTTGTTGAAGGTGTAAAAACAATTTAATGAGGTACAGTAACATTAAAGGGGAACAAAAAGACTATTTATTCTCGGTCATTCAGGAAGCGTCTTTCAAACTCATAGGCAAACAAACAGCACAATCACAGAGATGCATCTAGTTGGAATATGTATGCACGCATTCTCAGTACAAATGTTGAAGTAACCAATAATATTCTGTGTTATCAGGATAAGATACTAAACATTTGAGGAGGAATTTTTGTATTGTTTACATGTTTCTAACGTACAGGTGATTTTGCCTTGAAAGACGATGAAAAATTCGTGATTGAATTATCTGATATAATGAAGAAGATTTGCAGCTTACACTATTATTATTATTGTTCCCTTGGGTTCCTAGTGGAACATAGGGCTTCAACTACACGTCTCCACTTGTTTCTGTCTTCTGCTGTACTTTTCACTTGCATCCATGTTATTCCATACTGTTTCAATTCCTCTTCACACGATCTCCTCCATGTCACCCTTGGACGTCCCACTCGCCGCTTCCCTTTCGGGTTCCACTCGAGCACTAGCCTGACGCGCAATGTCACCCAGCGGCCTCCTCAGCGAGTGTCCAATCCATCTCCACTTTCTACTGCATATTTGTTGAGCGATTGGTTCTTGTTTCGTTTGTTCCCATAGTTTCTTGTTGGTGATTCTTTCCGGCCATCTGATCTTGAGTATAGAGACGAAGACAGTTGTTGATAAAGGTCTGCAATCTGTTGGAAATATTCTTTGTGACACACCGGCTAAGTTTCTGATCCGTATAGAAGAACTGACTGACTTGACGTTTGTATTGAAAATCCGAATTTTGTTGTTGATGCTGAGTTGAGTGACGAAGATTTCCAGATTGGTTTCAGGTTGATGAATGTGTTTCTCGCCTTCCCGATTCTCGATTTGACATCCTCGTCCGTTCCTCAACCTGTAGTTGAGACAATGCTCTCTAGATAAGTGAATGAAGTAACCTCTTTCAAATCCCTCCCATTGATGGTGATTGGCGCTGGATGTTGCTACTGTTGTTGTTGTTGTTGGTTGGTTATTTTCATAACCTCCGTCTTGTCTATGTTCACCTGGAGTCCTGTCTTTGTTGCTTCTTCGACCAGTTTGTCGGTTTTCGCTTGTAAGTCTTCGATTTTGTGTGACATCAAACATAAATCATCCACGCGCGAAATCCATGTCTTCTAGGTTCTTCACGTCGGTCCAGGATATCCCTGTCTTCTCGTTTCCCACTGTCTGACGCATAATCCAGTCCACCACAATTAGGAATATCATTGGTGATAATAAGCACCCTTGTCTGACTCCTGTGTTTACTCCAAACGTGCAGCTTACATAGATGGTTTTAATATGGGTGTGTTCTCTGAGTTGGTTAGTTTAATTATGAAGCTTTCAATGCCTTCTTAGACAACATTTTCAGTGAAGACTTCAATATGAAGTGAACTTATTTAAATCCTAAATGAATGACACAACTATCTCTCCTGACAATCTTGATTGTGATTGGCTGTTAATTTAGGATAGTATTGATCGTTTCACTGACTTGGTACTAGACACTGCATCACTGAGTGATTATTAAAATAAACTTATCTAATATGGAATTACATTCTACCACAGTGCCCAAGTTCTACACTTACATCAAAGATCGTAACCCATAGCACAGATGACTTGAAATGAATACGCATTTGATGCAGTATTAGTTTCTAGTCATCAGTGTATAGGCAACATATTGGAGTCTGCAGGTATAACACCTATAAATATTCCTTCAAATAATGTGAAAGTGAACGGAGCAAATGATTATCAACAGCTTGACTATATTAAACATAATGCTTCCTAGCTGGATGATAAATCAATGACTACGTGAATATTGGATGACTGACTGGACCATTAACTTAGAACTTTGCACAAAATTGCATTAGTTCAAGTTGACATACTTCATAAGACTGTGAGCAGAACGACGCTGAACATAAATAAGCACATCAATTGAATACTGAACAAACCTATTCTGCCTCAATGACTTATACTTCAATGAGCTAAGAAAATATCAGAAAACAGTGACTGGCCTGTGAGTGTAAGGAGTACCTCATCAAAAAGAAAGATACACCAGATATATACACTTTCCACATACATAAAGTCATACTAGTTCGGTGGTGAAACAACTTATTCTGATTATTTCCATACGATCAAAAATTACTATGTCCACTTCATAAAAACAACTTTAATCTAAATTTGAGACATAAAATAAGCTTTAGTAAGACATGACTTAAAACCTTAAAACCGTCTCCTATCAGGGTGTACAGATTCTTAACTTTGTTTTAATGTACTCCACTCCTACATTTGGCAGCATTGGACACTGTAAGATAATAAGATCAAATGCAACTTTGCAAATGTTAGCACTCGACAATCCGTTACATCTCTACATACAGTCTTGAAACTTTCTACGCTCAATACGTAGGTAGGGTATCAAAGATGAAATCTAGCATTCTACTGATATTTGAGTGAAATCGTAAAATTCGATGTGATTATTTAATATGTGTAAAACTTGGGCACTGTGGTAGTAAGCAATTCCATATTAGTTTGTTTATTAGATGTATCACACAGTGAAACAGTATTATTTACTGGATGACGTTTCGAACAAAATTTATTGTTCATAATCATATCAGTTATAATCACACGATTTCGAAACTTTCTTTTTTTATAGTTTTCTTTATTCTCTCCTATTTGTCTTAGGGGTAGTAGAATTTTCCAGATATCCGACTGGACAGGTGTTGAATCATTCCTATTACACGTATTTGCAGTTGATTCGATAAACAAAGCTTCCGTTATCAATCTCTCCCTCCATCCTATCACATCACATTTTAAAACTGTCATCTTATCCCATCCATTATTGTATGGTTGTGTTTAATTGCATGCAGTGAGTGTTATAGCTGAACTATTCTCTAGATTTCTTATCTTCTTCGGGTCAACTAATCTAGATTTTGCTAGGTTTTTATGCTCCGCTAGTCTGACTGACCCTGTTCTACTACTTTGACCTATGTATTTGACCTGACAATCATTGCAGGGTATTAGATAAACTAAATTGTTTTGTTTTAAAGGCTCCACAGGATCCTTTAACTGACAAAGCATGTTTCTAACTGAGTTTGTGGGTTTGAATGCCCACTTTTATTCCTTCATTGTTAACAATTCTCCGTAAGGTTTCCGAGGTTCCTTCCTTGTATGGAATTACTACTGATGATTTAGATTCCTTATTGTTGGTGTTGTCATTATCTTGCGCATGTTTGACATGCATGTCGTCATTAATATTACTATTATTATTATCACTATCACTACTATCATTATTTATTTTATTTTTACATTTCCCTACATACTTTCTGACTAATTTGTCAGGGTAATTATTAAGTTTCAAAGCTTCTCTTATGTGTCTCACTTCCTGTCTTAGATTTTCCTTGGTACTACTTAGTTTTTGTCCTCTATTATTTAAACATTTCACCAATCCTATTTTCACTGACATAGGATGGGATGATCAGAAGTCCAAATATCTGTTTGAATGTGTGGGTTTCCTGTAAAAACTAGTGTTTAACTTCCCATCTTCTTTCCCTTTTACGCTACAATCTAACATTGGAAGTTCCCCTTCCTGACTTTCCAATTCATCATAAGTGAATTGAATTGCCTCCACCTTTGAGTTAATGTGTTCGAAAAATCTATCTATATCCTGTGTTCTAAGTACAGTGAATGTGTCATCTACATACCTCCACCATACTTTTGGGGTGGGGCTGAACATTTCAATCGCTATGTTTTCCCACCTATCCATGAATATATCTGCCACAACCGGGGATATTGGTGACCCCATGGCAACTCCCTCAGTTTGTTTGTATATTTTCCCCTGGGATTTAAATACTGTGATGTGATATCATCATTAATTAATGACCAGCGTAAAATATCTTTCCCAAAGAGACTCTCAAAATCACCTGCATTATATATGTACACTTTAAGTGGGACAGTGCAAAACCTAATAATAATATTCTGATTAAAATAATTGATTTGAAAGCTTTTATGATTTTTACTTGAAAATCTCAAGGAAGCTAAGAATTTTGGCATATATTTATATATATTTATATTATATAACGAGAAAGGAATGCTTAAAG